AACGTAAGAGGGGTCACGCCCGCTTAGGCTAAGTCATACAACAAGAGATTTGAAGCTTCAAAATAACATAGGAAAATAATATTATGCAAAAATAGTAACTTCAACAAAATCCATAGTCTACCAATGAGATTAGTAAACACATGAGTACGCTCAAGATCCTAAGTTTACTAAGCTTAGCAGAAATAGGCGACAGTCGGCCTTCGTGACTATAATCAATATCACAAAGAAAAGATTAGATTTAGAAAATACAAGAAAAGTAGTGATTACGAAACCTTCGTCACGGATCGGTTGCGATCCTCCACTCTGCGATCTCCAATTGTTCTTCGATCGCTTCCACCAAGGTATCCAAGATACGCTCGATGTAATCTTCTACCGTGTGGTCGATCCTCTGGTTGACGTCGAAGAAGGCTGAATGCAAGATGCATACAAACCCGTACTCGTCGTAGGAGAGACCGTATTCCGTTTCTGGGTCAGCTATCCATGCGAGAAGGCGCTGTTTTGACTTTGGGCAAGGACAAGCTTTGTCGAGAATACTATGGTGATGGGGAGCCGGCGGGAACTAGTAGACAGCAAACTGCTCCCTTAATGCAGCCTTTGGAAGCTTTCAGGTTGAAGGCAAACCAAGTGGTAAGTGCTGGAAATTCTGGCAGCAACTTGGAGAGCAGGAAAAGTATGAATCGGGTCAGCTTTTAGGAGGATTTTGGAGAGATAAAACCAAGCAAAACAGCTAAGGAGGGGGCGGCTGGATTGTGGCCAGATTTTGGAATTATTTCCAATTCAGGATGCTGAAATTGGTGGACAGAAATTGACGTGGATTCTTGGAGAATTGGCTCAGAGAAAGACTTTGAATTGTTTCCAAGAAAAGGAGGTAGTATTAGGAAAATAATTTAATTTTAATCCCATGAGGGGGCTGGCGGTTTATAGAGGGAGGAAGGGATTTAATGTGGTAATTAATGCTTAATTAATAAATCAAGATTTGAAAGAAATATCTCATCCTCTCTTAATTGAAAATTTAAATAAGAACTGATTTAATAGGTTTCCTAAAATAAGATTTATAATTTAAGTAACTATTTGAAATTCAAATTGATTTGAATTTATTCAAATAAGAGTTACCAAATTTATTAAATCTAATTTAGGAAAGAATTGATAGCAAGTGGGAAAGGAGGGAGGGGCCAAGGAGAGGCCCGCGGTGGGGGTTGGCCGTGGATGGGGCGGCGGATTAGGTATTGGCGCTGGGTGGAGGTGGAGTTTTAAATGGCCAGCGGTTTAAGGGTTCGGGAAAGGAGAAGTAGTTCTGGCGGTGGAGATTGGAGGAGGAAGAGGAAGGGATAAGAAGTAGAACCACGAACCCGACTTATCTAGGTTGGTGGGTGATACACAATTCTCCCTCTCCTAGGGATTCCACTCCAACTCTCAAACTCTCTTGAGAACTCCAACAAGAAAACAAAATTTTGAAATAATCATTCATTAACCTTGAAAAACAAAACAAGAGGCTATAAATAGCCTTGTACATGAGACTCAAGAAAAAGAAAAGACGATAATGCCTTCGGGGCTTACATACGACATCCCTTACTAAAATGGTACAACTGGAAATAAGAAAATACAACGACAACATAAATAACTCAAAAATACAATGACTCGATTGTGGCCGTAGATCGGCGGCCATGCCTCTGATAAACCTTCCATGATCTGATGTTCCCATCATTGACCCTCTCAAAATTATTCGTGCTAGGTTAAGTCAGTTTGGCAATTCGTATGGGGTTGATCATGCTATTTTGATCTTGTTTAGGCATTGATTTAGTTGTACCAATTCAAATTGGGCTTTAGTTCAACCCTTTTGGGATACCATGAGATCCATGCTTCTTGTCTAAAATTTTGCTTGATAAAATGGAGATTTTATGGTTCCTACGCATGTTATAATTGCAAGCCAATGTTATTAGGGTGAAACCTTTTCTTGCTTATTTGTTCCATGGCAAGCGATAGTGCGCTTATGAGTTATTCTGTTGACCACTTGTTGGCTAGCTGATATATGGCACATGACAATAATTTTCAGATACAAAATCCTTTATAAGTTTCTTTCTATTTTTTATTATGGCTACTAAGATATTTAAATATGTAAAGCTTTATTCTGCAGAACTTGATGCTATCTCATGAGCACATAATTACTATCTCAATTAAGAGTTTCTACTGGTCATGGGGTGAGTGCATGTATTATCCATCCTGTTAATTATAACTCTTTTCTCTATTTGTCTGATATTTTTAGAAGAATCCCTTATTATTTATTACTTAAGTTACTAGGAGTGCAGTGTTTATGTTTTTTGAATGTAAATGGCACCTTAACTCCATGCTAGGTTAATTGTGTAACATTTTTGTTGCTTTGTAACTTTGATATATTATATAAATCGGCTTGTTCAAATTTGAATTTTGATGTATATTTCAATTGAAAATTTTAAGAATTAATTTTTGGATCATACGAACTTTGATTTCAGCAAACTTATGCTGAATCGAACGTCTTCAATGACAAAAAAAGTGATTCGATCTAAGTTAGAATGATCTCAGATCTATCTTTGAAACGCAATAGGTGACTTCAACACACTAATTAAAGGACCACATGATTTCCAAATCTCACATGTTTACAGTTAAATCAAACATCTCAACGAGACAAATCTAATGAGTACAAAACATCTAATTCTAACATTACTAAGGCACTCAAATGTTGAAAGAACGACTTATGATTGAGGGATTCAATACGGGCATCCCTTGGAGTGTATTGAATTTTGAATATATTTACGGGGCATGCTATTTAAAAAAAAAATCTATAAATAGGCTCCACACTTTTTACATGAATGGGTGCTTAAACCTTAGATTTAGATTTAAGAGAGCTCAAAAGCTTGTATGAACCCAGAGCTACACCCTAGCATCGAAGTTCACTGCCTGAATGCCACTGCCCTCGTTGGACCACCGCTTGACTGCTACCATCAAAACTTTGCCTGACCTCTATCGTCAGAATACCACCTGACATTTGCTTGGTCACATTTGTCCAACCACAGTCTTTAGGTTGCCACTGCATGACCTCCATTATTAGACCATTGCGCCTAACTATAGTCTTTTGTCCACTATTGCCCGTCCACTATAGCCCGACCACAATCCTTTGACCACCTTCGCATGATCAAAATCATTCAATCACTGTCGCCTGACCACAATCCTTTGACCATGATTGCCCAACAACGATCCTTCAAACACCATTGCCAGACTAAGATCCTTCAACCACCATCACCTGATTATGGTTCCTTCCACCTCCATCACCTGACTATGGTTCCTTTGACCACCATTGTCTTGCTATGATCCTCTGACTTTTGTTGCCTGATTACAATCCTTTGACAACCATCACCCTATCATGATCATTTGATCATCGTCTCTTGATTATGATTGTCTGATCACCACTTCTCGACTACGATCCTTTGACCATCATCGTCTTATTATGGCTTTCCAAACTTCATTGCCCAACTACGATTCTCCTACCTTCATCCCCTTACCACTTTGCTCAGACCGTTGTTGCCTAAAAATAAGACTTTCGAGCACCGTCCTCTGTCTTCATTGCCAAACTATAGTCGTTCCTTCGACATCATTTCTCGACTACGATCATTGGATAATAGTTGCCCGACTTCAGTTTTCCGACCATCGCAGCTTGATTATGGTTCTCCAACCTCTCTTGCTCAACTATAGTCCTCTGATTAACGTCGCTCTATCACGATCCTTCAACCACCTTTACTCGGCTACAATCCTCTGACTACTATCACCCTAATATGATCCTACAACCATCGTTACTCAACTATGGTCCCTTGACCTTTGCTGCCCGACTATGGTCCTCTGATCACCTTTGTATGACTACAGTCCTCCAACTACACCGACGCCCGCTAACTTTGTTGCCCATCATCCCAAACAATATTGACGAGCTCCATCACCTGATTGCCGATGCACACCATCGATATGAAATCTAACTTTCAATGTCAATACTAAGATTTGTACCAAACTAATCTAACTTTCAATGTCAATACTAAGATTTGTACCAAACTTCATGGTCTTTAGTTTCATCTCGTTGAAAGGAACGACCAAACAGACAACAAACTATTTTTTGATGACAACTTTCATGCCATAAGGCTCTTCAAATTTTCATAATAGATTTTTTTTTCTGTATAACTTATGTCTATTATATTGTATGAACACTTTTCTCAATCATGAGAAAGGGCATCATGTGTTATCAAGGATCAACATTTGAATTTCTGATTAAAAGCCCTGTCATCTTTTGCTATTCTCTTTTATTAGGCTAGATTTTCATGTCATGCTAAAATGTTGAACTCTCTTTCTACCCTCTCGAATGTTATGACATGCAACAATACTCATTATCAGTAATCTTTACATTTTAGTGTTATTTTTGAATGAGTTTTTTATTTTTTTAAATTAAAATATTATAAAAAATGATAATGGGTATAAAAAAACTCACATTTTAATGTTCATTGTACATAAATTTTCTTTTTTTAATTTCCTTAGGATTGATTGTCCTTTTTTCCATCATCATTAAATTATTGCAAAAATTACTGTTAGAATCCTGGATATTGGGAAATTAGGGACATTAAAATCAAATGTGTCCTTATTTGCCCGGATAAAATTAGAGCTTAATATATTATTTTGATTGTCAATTTTTGCTTGCTTAATTTTGAAATAAAAGTTTCTGGATAAAAGTGTGCTAACCGTAAAAGATTAAGCACCTGGAGTAGACGCAATATTTGAGCTGATCATCAGTGTCCTATCCTTTACACCAATTGCTTGCGATAAGTTTTATGAATCTTCATTCTTGCTGAGTGATTTATGAGGGATTAAATTTGATATATATTTGACATAATTTTCATTATTTACTTTAAAGTATTCAAATTTATTTTAAGTAGTTTCTCAATTAAATGTAAGGTGCAATGATAGAATGAGTTTTTTAAATGGTGCAGGTTAATTCTGTTCGGCAGTTTTATGAAAATTTTGTTCCAAGTTGTACCATATATGACATTGATTGTCCGGATAATTCATTCCGCAAGATTACTGATGATGGGAAATATTTAATAAGTTTCAGCAGAAATCACCAGGAGCTGATAGTTTACAGGCCTACATGGCTATCCTTTTCATACAAAGGTGAGGATTGCGATTCAGATGCTCTGTCTCAGAGAGCAAAGAGGTTTGACAGCTTCTTTATCCATCTGTACACTGTATCACTTGCAACAAGTAATGAGTTTATTTGCAAAGAATTCTTTCTGTATCTGGAGGGTTTGGAATTTGGCATATTTGCAACCTCTACTGCACTATCTCATGAGGCGCCTGCTACTGAGGGCGCAGTCAATGGAGTTCAATGTATAGAAAGAATTGTATTTCATCTTGTGAGGTATTGGCTTAAGTTGTTAGAAGCATTCATTTACTTATTATTAGCATTTTTTTCCTTTATTATCACCAAGAGGTCATCCTCTCCTGTTCATTTCTACTTGCTTTTAATTTTTTTTGAGCTGGAAGCACATAAATTTGTTATGTAATTTCTATATTCAAACATCAGGTTAGAAGATGGTTTTGTATTGGATGAGAAGGTCTTCTGCAATGACTTTGTCAATTTGAACCACAGCATGGGCGTTTTCTTGCATGAGGATCTGTTGTGTATAATGTCACTGCGTTACCAGGCAATACACATTGTACAGATTACGGATTCTGGAAACCTTGTCGACGTTAGGATAGTAGGCACATTTTGCCATGAAGATGATGAATTGTTTATTGGGTCACATATTCAGGTAAGTTTTCATCATTTTTGTAGGGGTAATTCATAAATTTAAAGATTATAAAGCAGGTTGGGAACCTATAACCTTAAAGTTATTTCTAGGCACCAAACTTGTGTTATCATATCACATGAAGCCCAAGTACTGTTGAATCCTTTATATTTGGTATAACTCCATGAGATCCAATTTTACAGTTAAACTGCAGAATGCTCTTTAATTTCATGAAACAAACTTTGTTTTTTTTTTTTTTTAGTTTTACAACTGAAAACTTCCTATTCTTCCCACATATGTGTTCATGGTTAAATTTAGCCTGGAAGCTTGGCTTCTATTCTCTTCTTCCTCCCTCCCTCCTCCCTCCCTCCCTCCTTCCCCCTAACCCACGCTCCCTCCCCCTCGTTTTCATGCATGCATGGCACACCCACGCATATCCTACATGTTTTTGATGCCTTCTCAACATTTGGCTCGCTCTAATATTTCTAAGCATCGGCTAACTTGAGATAGGATGAATATCATCAGGTTACAGAGGGACAAATTTTTCTTAGTGGCATCAAACAGAGGTTGCTTTCTTATATTTTTCGCAAGCATTGGAGTGAGGAAACGGATCAAACATTGGTATGCCATCCAGATATTGCTTTTTTCATTTCTGCCTCCTGCTTGCTAATTTTCTTTAAAATAAAAAAAAAGCAAATTCCATATCTTGTTAATAGTATTGAGGAAATTTCTAAGTCTTCACTCTTTACATATGTTTTTATTTATGCGTTTCACTCTTTACATATGCTTGAAGTGCAACAAAAGAAAACATATTAAATTGATATCATTAGTTTTTATTTATGCGTTTCGTTGGAACAAATGTCATGTTGGAACGGGTGCATGTAAAGGCACACAATCCAACCACTGTCAAAGATTACTTCACCAAAATACTTGTCAACCACAATATTTTAATAATAGTATTTAAATTGTTGCAGATGTTGTAAACTACATGTTCATAAAGTTTAAATGTGATTTAAGATCTTATATACCATAATATTTGTCTATTATTAATCTTTTTTAATCCATTCTCCTGGTTAATACTCTTAGGAACTTGATTCGTGGATACTAAATTACTATAAATATCATGAATTTATGTCTCCTACTATGTTATAAATTGATTTGACACATCTTGAGAACAATTACGATTTTGTAGGAGAAATTCTTAGAGTCATAGATTTGGGAGTGTGGTTTCAGTGAAGCTTGTAATTTAGCGAAAAAAAATTTCTTTTTCTGCATTCAAAAGAAAACTCACCATTCTTCTCATGTGCCGTCCTAAGCACTTACCAAGTTAGTGCATCTTGCTATGGTAGACTGCTTGTATTAAACTTACTTTGCCATGCCTTTTAGTCCCTTTTAACAGAAATCTGTACTGAAGCTGGCTATTACTTAGAAGGCTAGTAGTCTAGCTTTTCTTTTCCTTTGTTCGTGCATTTGCTTATTCATTCCTATGTGGATAGGTACGTAGATTTGTATTTATATTTGTATTATTTTTCATGTTTCCATAGTTTCTAGCTTATGTTGATTTCTATTATCAACAAATTCAAAATTTCACAATATTTATCTCATTATGCTAGATACTTTTTTGTGACTGATGTATTTATAAAGCTGATGTACATCTTAATTATAGAGGAATTAAGTTAATGTGTCATACTTTAAAACTATGGGAGTGAGTTATGGAGCATAGGTTGTGGTGATACTAATGTTTTTCAAAATCAAATTGGATTCATGCCGGGTAGATCTACTATGGAAGCCATACATTTATTGAGAGGTTTTATGGAGAAATATAGAGAGAATAAGGAGGATCTACATATGATATTTATTGAGTTAGAGAAAGCATAAAAAAAAATGATAAAGTTCCAAGAGAAGTTCTATGGAGAGTTTTTGAAAAGAAAGGAGTTAATAACTCTTATATTCAAATCATTAAATATATGTATGCAGGAGCTATTACTTGTGTTCAAAAACAAGGTGGTTTGACCAAGTATTTTTCTATTTCGGTTGGATTTCATCAAGGATCAACTCTAAGCCCATATCTTTGTGCTTTAGTCATGGATGTTCTCACTAGACATTTGCAAGAGGATGTAAATTGATGTATGCTTTTTGCTGATGATATTCTTCTTGTTGATAAGACTAGAGAGGGAGTTGAAGCTAAACTTGAATTTTGGAAGTGAGTAGATTATGACTTTGGGTGATCAAGTCATTAATAAGAGTACACGTTTTAGATATCTTGGATCTATTGTTCAGAGTGATGGTGAAATAGATGGGGATATTATCAGCATAATTTAAGTTGGATGGTTGAAGTGGAGCTGTGGAGGAATGCATCGGGCTTGTTGTGTGATAGAAAAGTTCCCCTCAAACTTAAGGGAAAATTCTATAAGATGGTGGTGAGACCTGCAATGCTTTATGGTGCCGAATGTTGTCCATTAAAAGAGAAGCATAATACTAAGTTAAGTGTTGCAGAGATTAGGATGCTTAGGTGGATGAGTGGTTTTACCCTTAGAGATAGGATACAAAATGAGCATATATGCGAAAAGGTTGGAGTAGCTCCAGTGGAAGATAAGATTAGAGAGAGTCGCATTAGATGGTTTGGTCACATTAAATGGAGGCCTTCCGATGATCTTAGGAACTTTGAGGTATTAGATTTGACTTATGTTAAGAAAAGTAAAGGTAGACCTAAGAAGATTTGGTTAGAAAATATTAGAAATGATATTTCTTTATTAGATTTAAATAAGAATTTGTCTTTTAACAGGATACAATGACAAAAAAGGATTCATATAGCCGACCCCACGTAGTGGGACAAAGGCTTGATGTTATTGTTGTTGTATATACATCTTTACCTCTATCATCCTCGAGCAAGTTTGTATTATTGTTATTGGCTTCTATGCATTTTTTGATATTGACTTCTATGCATTTTCTTTCTTGGTTTGTTTCTTCTTGGTGCAATATTTGGTGTTAAATTTTTTTCTGCTAGTCCTTTTGCACAATTTATAGGCAAATGCAAAACAAGTTTGCAAGGTTTGTGACCCTCTCTGCATGATGGCAAATGCAAACATGTTTATATGGTTAGTGCAAGGAGATTGATCAATCATTTAGTATGAGACATTATTTGCTATGCTTTCAAGGTATGCGCCTTAGAAAAATATTATCAGTTCTTATATGGACTGAGGGATACAAAACCCTTAATTCTTTTAGAGATTGAATATCAGTCAATGCTGATAGAGAATGCTAGGAGAATTGAACTTGATTTTCAGGCCACTAAGAGTAAAAAATTACATTAAGAGAAAGAACACTGAAGAGGATGAGCAGATTGGAAGAATCCTTAAGCTAATGAAGTTAGTGGAGGTATTGCCAGTAATACTATTGTTATTTTTGTTGAGTGTGTGAAGGTGCATATAGAAGAATATCTTGTTGGCTCTAATGTATGTTCTCTATGTCGCCAACTAGGACATCATATGAGGACTTGCCTCAACTCTACATAAACGTCCACACTAGATGCTAAGTCATGAAGAGCTTTATCTTAGAGAAGTTTTAATGAAGGTGTGGGCTCCGAAAATTTGCACCCCGGCCTCCCCGTGCCCGTGCTTTGCTACTTTCTCGCTTTCGGGGGGAGTTTTAACAGATTAAGTTTCGGGGAAAATTTTGGGAAGGAAGATTAGGTTTGAAATAAGACATTACCCAGAGATTTCACCCTCATTCTGCAAGGATTTTATGATCTGAGTTCTGGTTTCCTATAGGCGTAAGCCCCTATAGTTACATACCCCTCTCGATCACGAAAGAGAACTTTTGATTAAGGCCAGTCGTCAGTGAATACGTCGTATCCGTAGATATGCGGTATCCGACATATAATAACAACATGGGTTTTGTGTTTGAAAATTTGATATTTAAAATTGAAAAATTCACATCTTGCACTTAAAGCGGATGGTGGGGGGAGTGATGATGAGCTTGATCAAGATCCCATGGTTCCGTCGTCCCGGACCATGTTGGTCCTTGATCTACTTAGTCAGAGGAGATAGTCAACCCAACCTGATAAAAGGATCATTGTCAACAACCATGGGTTGCGTCGTTCAAGGGTACCTTGTAGAGCTGGTGTCGATGTTTGTCTAAAGAGACAAACTTGAATCCACCGTAGCTAATAGAGGGCTTTGTGCCCTATCGATTTTATTCTATTGATTCATTGATTAATGATTTAATACATTGAGGAGCATACGGGCACTGACCATACCGTAATATAATGATGCCATTTTGCGGCGAACCACTCGATTCAGAGGGTCTCAGTCATAACCGTTTACTTGTGGTGCCATTTAGTGGCGAAACCCTAGGTGTGGTGCCATTTGACGGAGAAACCACCAGTTATAAGACACATTCCACATCCTTACTGACAACAAACAGATTGAGAATGAATCTTAGTAATGTTTTAGACTAGACATTAACTCTGTGTGAGCTGGAGTAGTTTTCAGATTTGTCTATCTCAGCAAACCTTTGCGGAGGGTGGATGTGTATTTGTTTTAAGTATTTGATGATTTATTTCATTTTAAATATCTTGAATTTTGGTATTTTTAAAATTTCAAATTTTATGGGCATTTGGGGGTATTTTGAATGGTTGTGGTCCCCTCCAGTTGAGATGAGCGTTCAACACAGCCATCATCGGGGAATATATGGTCATTTGAAAATATTTGTGTTTTGTAGAAGTTTGAGGGCGTTTGAAAATATATGATCCCCTCCGGTTGAGATTTATATTAAACACGGCCATCATCAGGGACATATGGGTTATATTTCTGTTGATTGAATATTGTGAACTCCGTCTGCTTGCCAACAGAGGATCAGATTCGAATCTACATTTATTTCTTAACCCGCACGGAATCCTTAGACGTCACGTGTGTACCTACAATACGCTCACCAGGGTCTACGTGGGTAGATGCTATTGGATGTCTCTCATACGATGCATTCATATGTATGCATAATACGATTTTTTAAATATAATTGTAGTGTTGAATGACATACTAGAGTGAAACCCTTTGCTTATTATCAATGCATACGAGGATATTCTTGAAATGCACGTATAGAGGCCCTTAGATATACACATACGATGCATCTATATGTTAATGTATGATGATATGCTTATATGACCTATTATGCCTATTACAAATAATGTATGAGGGGGGCATTTTAAGATGTTTGCATGCTGTGCAAATGGGTGTTTGGCTGCATAAGTGACTATTGTTGCTGAATGGGCGGGGCTTTATTTCAGGCTTTACTGACGCCTTTTATATGCTTATATGAGTTTGCAGATCTGGTGGCGTGGCTTCGTGCTTCAGCGACATGTGGTTCACACTACTGATTCCTTGCTTTTGCTTACAAGTGAATCGTAGCGTTATCATTTGATTGTCGCGAGGCACTTCGTTGTTCTGATGTAGGCTCCCTTTTCTCGTTCATCAGCAGGTCGCATATTGTTATATTGCTTTATCCCTGACTCGTCACAAGGGTAGGACATTGAGTTGAGGGGCTTGATCTTCGGGTCTTCATTTGAGTGACGCGGCATATTTTTGGGAGCCCTTATATTTTTGAAGAGATGATAGAATGAGACA